ATCAGGAGCATAGTGGACACCCTGCCAGATCTGGGGGGATGGAAGTCAGCAGCCGGTGTGCAGCAGTGGCAAACTGCAGTGGTGGACAGGGAGCGAAAGTTCAGCTTGAGCCATTACAAACACGAACCAGAAGAGTGTGCAGTTGCAAGATTTAATAGAGTGAAAACAGAGCTCCCATAAAATGGGAGGGGACCCCAAGGGGGTTTCCACTGCCTGCTCCAATGCTTTGGTTTATATCCTGATCATTGTCCCTCCTGCTGTGCTCTCAGGTGATAGATGATTGGCTATTTCTTTACCTCCTGTTTTTGCCTAATTAGCATTTTAGTGAGCTCTCTTTACTACCTGATTGGTCGGGCGTGCGGATGTGAGCTCAGTTGCAAGCCCCGTGTTTAAAGGTGGATGCAGTCACCTTCCCAGCTAGACTTTGGGATTCTTAGTTGGCCTAGGAAATCCAGCTAGTCCTGTCTCTCAGTTGCAATAGATGCATGAAAGGCATTTTATAAATTCAGTACCCACAGAAGATAAAACATGCTCAGCAAAGTAAGAATAGAGAGAAACTTCTAAACCTAATGAAGGATATCTATGGAAAATCTATAGCTAACATTATACTTCATGGTGAAAGACAATGTTTGACTCCTAGCATCTGGAAGAAGACAAAGATGTCCTTCCTCTTTCAGCACTTACATTCATCATTGTATTGGAATGCACTGTAATATAGTACTGGAGTCCGTGCAGTAGGGCAAGAAAAGAAGGCATATGGCCAGAGGAAGTAAAACTAACATTCACAAACAACACGGTTATGCATGTAGAAAATCCTAAGAAATAATAAATGGAGATAGATTTATCAGGTTCATGACTGTTAAGACTCTATATTGTGAAGATATCATTCTCCAAATTTACTTATAGATTCAACACAATCCCAGTCAAAATCATGGTAGGCATTCCTAGGAAGACAATAAATTATTTCTTAAATGTATATGGAAATGCAAGGAATCTAGAATAAACTGTTTTGCAAAAGATCTAAGTTGTAGAACATAGACTTACCCGGTTTTTAAAACTTCTTATTTCAAAGTGGATTACAGACCTAAATGTAAACGCCAAAACAAAAAAAAAACTTCTAAAGAAAACATAGGAAAAAATATTCATGACACAAAAACAGGGCATGTACAAACACAAATATGAACCATAAAAGACAAAAGCTATTAAATTGAACTTTGTCAAAATTGAAACCTGCTCTTTGAAAGACAGCATTAAGAAAATGAAAATGCAAGCCATAGACTGGGAAAACATATTCATAATATGTATATCTGACAGTGGACTTGGCAATGGTCCCATTGTTTGTGTCACCTCAAAATTCGTATGTTGAAATCCTAACCGCCAAAGTGATACTATTAAGAGATGGAGCCGCTGGGCATGGTGGCTCACGCCTGTAATCCCAGCACTTTGGGAGGCCGAGGTGTGCGGATCACGCCATCAAGAGATCGAGACCATCCTGGCCAACATGGTGAAACCCTGTCCCTACTAAAAATACAAAAAATTAGCTGGGCGTGGTGGCACGCGCCTGTAGTCCCAGCTACCTGGGAGGCTGAGGCAGGATAATCACTTGAACCTGGGAGGTGGAGATTGCAGTGAGCCGAGATCGTGCCACTGCACTCCAGCCTGGCGACACAGTGAGACTCCTTCTCAAAAAAAAAAAAAGAAAAAAAAAAGAGATGGAGCCTTTGGTAGGTAATTGCATCATGAGGGCGGAACCCTCAGGAATGGGATTAATGCCTTAATAAAAGAGGCCGGAAGGAGCTTGTTTGCTCCTTCCACGGCGTGAGGAGACAATGAAAAGGCAACATTTCTGTGAACCAGGAAACTGACCCTCATCAGACTGAATTGGTTGGTGCCTTGATCTTGGATTTTGTAGCCTCCAAAACTATGAGAAATAAGCTTATTTTGTTTATAAGCTACCTAGTCTGTGGTATTCTGGTTATAGCATCCAGAATGGACTCAGACAGAGTTGTATACAGAACATATACAGAATGAAGAACTCCTATGAATCAACAATAATGAGATGAACAACTCAAACAATTGGGCAGGCTGTAATCCCAGCACTTTGGAAGGCTGAGGTGGTTGGATCACTTGAGCCCAGGAGCTCCAGACCTGGGCAACATGGCAAAACCCCGTCTCTACTAAATATAGAAAAAAACTTAGCTGGGTGTGGTGGGGCAGCCTGTAGTCCTAGCTACTCAGGAGGCTGAGGTGGGTCGATCGCTTGAGCCTGGCAGGCAGAGGTTGTGGTGATCATGCCACTGCACTCCAGCCTGGGTGTCAGAGTCAGACCCTGCCTCCAAAAGAACCAAAAAACAAAAACCAACAACACATAATTGTGCAGGAAATTGAACAATCACAAAAGAATATGTATCAATTGTCTAAAGGTACGTAGAAACATTAGCTACCAGGGAAATGAAAGTCAAAACTACAGGAATTAATTAAAAGGAAGAAGACTGACAGTATCAAGTATTGACAAGGAAGTGAAGCAAAGGGTACTCTCATATGTTGCTGCTAGGGGTGTAATAATTGTATAACCACTTTGGGAAACAATTTGGCAATTTCTTATAAAGATAAACTTACCCTTAACATTTGAAGTTGGAACCTCCATTCCTAGGTATTTATTCAAGGAAAATGAAAATCTGTATCCACAAATGCCATGTATATATTTACAGCCCTATTCATACTAGCCGAAAGCTGGAAACAGAGGAATGAATAAACAGATCGTGGTATATTCATACAGTATATATTCATGCTACTCACCAATGAAAAGGAGTGAACTGCCGACAGACACAACATGAAAGAATCTCAGGAACGTTATGCTGAGTAAAAGTAGCTAGACACAAAAGCATACATATTATATGAGTACATTATTGTAGGATTCCATTTATATGAAATTTTTAAAAATGCATTTTAAAAATGCAAAACTAATGTATTATGATAAAATTCAGATCTGTGGTTGCCTGGAGTGGAGGTGTTTGACTAAAGAGAGGCATGGGGGAACATTCTGGAGTGATGGAAATATTTATAATGGCAGGGCGACATAAATGCCCCAGCTCAAGGAACTGTACAATTAAAATGTGTGCCTTTCACTGAATATCAGCTATACATCAATACAGTTTCTATTTTTGAGTAAAAGGGAGTTCCAGACTGTGCTCTGACAACTTTGGCATATGGGGAATGCTACACTTACCCTCCATAAGTGAAGCCTTCCTAGTTATCTTTGATAAGCCTTGTCCTAGACAGAGACAATTTTTATACTGACAAAATAAAAATACATTCTATAAGGCAAATTAAATGGAAATCTCCTCACTAAAATGAAGTACAACACATAGATGGAATACATGGGATGAGATACACATCCTGGACTCTTTGAGAGTCTTTTAAAAATATATTTGGCAGACTGGGCATGGTGGATTATGCCTGTAATCCCAGCACTTTGGGAGGCTGAGGTGAGAGGAACACCTGAGGTCAGGAGTTCAAGACCAGCCTGGCCAAGATGGTGAAACCCTGTCTCTACTAAAAATATAAAAATTAGCTGGGTGTGGTGGTGGGCCCTTGTAATTGCAGCTACTCAGGAGGCTGAGGCAGGAAAATCGCTTGAACCTGGGAGGCAGAGGTTGCAGTGAGCCGAGATCATGCTGTTGCACTACAACCTGGGAGACAAAACTCAGTCTCAAAAAAAAAAAATATATATATATATATATATATTTATATGTATATGTGTGTGTGTGTGTGTATAAAATATATATACATATTTATATATATATAAAAAATATATACACACACATACATATTGCAACATCTAAATTTTAAAATTCTAATTCAGGGTTCAGTGACTGGACCATGCAGCTTATTTTTGTACTGCCCCAATGTAGGAATGGTTTTACATTTTAAAAAGTTGTTTAAAAAAAAAAGTTCTATCCCTTAAGAAAAAAAAAAGCAACCAGTACTATAAGTGTTCCTCAAAGTCTACAATATTTACTTTCCGAACTTTTGCAGAAAAAGCTTTCTAACTTCTATTCTTTACCCTTTGATCTGCACACTCTACCTACTGTAACTGATTCAGCCTCTCAAAAACTAACATGTCTTTTTTTTTTTTTTTTTTTTTTGCATTAGAGAATCCTAGATGTTTGTAGTACTAATTAGTATACACTAAGCATACAGCCTTATTGCCTTTCCTCTGAAAACTAAGAGGGAATGTTAAGTTGAATGATATGATAGCTACTTCCCAAGGAATGCTGTATTTCTTATAAATTGGCCTCTTTGGCTGTATTCCGGATGACGTTAAAGCTGTGGAATAGCCAAAGCACCTGAAATAGCAGGTATATATGTAGCATGAAGCCCTTAGCCATTTTGCAAAAAGCACGGGGCAATGCTAAATATTTCTGGTTTGCCCCAGTGGTATAGATTGGAGGAAACATTTTTACTCTTCAGCCTTCATGAAAAATGGCAGGATAGTTTAAAAGGTCTTTGAGAAATTTTGGAGGTTCTAAAGGGTTTTTTGTTTTTTTTTGTTTTTGGCATGGGGTTGTCAGAATAGCAAATCTGCACTACAGTCTCAGCAATATCAAGATTTCCCCCTTTAGTGCATTTGAACTCACACTTCAACCTTAGAATCTTCTTACTCTCTCTCACCTTTTGCCTCTGCCTCCTGTGGCCTCATACAGCTGACCTCAAACCATAATGGATCTTTTAAAATTAACTTCGGTCCTCTGAGCATCTCTTTATTTCAAAATTTTAAAGATGAACCTGGGATAAAGGGACATAGAGCTGCTTCAGGAAATACATAGCCTCTTTCGGGATCTCACTGTGCTAGTGATACACACATTCAAGTTTGAAAGACCAGTGGAATTGTGGTGGACAGCCCAGGGACAGGAACAAGCAGGAACCTGGTATGAGCTAACATTTAAGTTAAAATCTGTGACTATTTATGTATTTCTTTCTTTTCATCTTTTCTCTAGGCCTACTCTGTGTATGATGAAGACATTGGGTACTGTCAAGGGCAGTCTTTTCTTGCTGCTGTATTACTGCTGCATGTAAGTAACGGTCCATGTGATAAATAGCACAGTGCTGCCAAGTTCATTTTACTTTCTACTGCCTTTGTTCTTCCTTCTTATTTCCCATTTACCTGATGGAGATTACATATGGCATATCTTTTTAAAAATGTACATTAGGTGATAAAATAAGAAATATTATGTCAAAAATAGGACAGTTTCTCAGTGGAATTAGTTTTGTTGGCTAGAAAAGGATAAATTGCTTATTTGGAGTTATTTTTAACTAGAATTCTCTGGAAATAAAGAAGTCGGTGTAACTGCCCAAATATCAGGACCTGGACCATTAAGACCCATTTTTATATATCCTCTTTCCTGTCAGTTACCTTCATTTGACAGATCATTTATTGAGCATCAATTGTCAGGTACTGGGCTATGAAGTGGGGTTATAAAGATGAATCATTTATAATTTGTGTTCTCAAAGGCTTCATAGTCCAAGACGGGGCACAGATAATATAGGCATGCACTTATAATTTTCATTCTCTTTTATGTGTCTTTATTTTTCTGACGACAAAAATAACACATACTCATTAAATAACTTACAGTATGCTAAGGGAAAGTGATACACAGGTTAAGAGAATAGAGAAGAGAATTACCCAACCAAGCTCTGCCAGAACTTTCAGAAAAGACTTTCTGGAGGAGGTGGAGGCTTTGTCAAGACATAAATGAGATTGGAGAAGGTGAGAGGGGAAAGGGAAGGGGAAAGGATTATTGACAAAAATCACAATATGAGAAAATGTATGGAAATATGATAGGGCACAGTGTACAAAGGGAACAATATGAAATTACAGTTTACCATAGCAATTGTACACTGGGAGTGGTATGACGTAAAAATGGTAAGATGGGAAATTGTGAAGACTTTGTAATATGTCAAAAATGCCGACTTTATTCTAGAGCTAATAAGGAACCATTGATCACTTGGGAGCAAGGGAATAATACAGTCATATGATCATTTTAGATAAATTCTTTTCATACCTGTGTAAAGGGCAGAATTAAAGGAAACAGACAGCAGCAGAGAGACCAGGTAGAAAATATCAATATGGCCAGGCATAGTTGCTCACACCTGTAATCCCACAACTTTGGGAGGTTGAGGCAGGAGGATCACTTGAGCCCAGGAATTTGAAACCAGCATAGGCAATATGAGACACCATCTCTACCACACACACACAAAAGGTATCTGGGCATGGTGGTGAGCATCCATAGTCGTGGTAAGCACCCGTTGTGGTGTTGAGCTACCTGGGAGGCTGAAGTGGGAGGATCACTTGAGCCTGGGAGGTCAAGGCTGCAATGAGTCTTGATTGCACCACTGCAGTCCAGCTTGGGCAACAGAAGGAGACTGTGTCTCAAAAAAATAATAGTAATAAAAAGGAAAAGAAAATGTCAATTTAAATGAGAGATGTTGAGACCCCAGAGAAAAGCAGAATTAAGAAACATTCAGGGAGCAAAATTGTTAGGTTTGTGAATGGACTGGCAAAGGAGCAGTCAAAGGTGACATATCTAGTTTCCTGGCTTTGGTGACTGGATGAATGTTGTATTTTGAGTTGAGATAGAAAATATATTTATGGAGATTGAATGAAGGAAAAAGTTTAGGAGTTGATGAGTTCTTTTTTTTTTTTTTTTTTTTTTGAGACAGAGTCTCGCTCTGTGGCCCAGGCTGGAGTGCAGTGGCGCCATCTCAGCTCACTGCAAGCTCCGCCTCCCGGGTTCACGCCCTTCTCCTGCCTCAGCCTCCCGAGTAGCTGTGACTACAGGCGCGTGCATCACCATGCCCAACTAATTTTAGTTTTTTTTTTTTTTTTTTTTTTCCAGTAGAGACGGGTTTTACCATGTTAGCCAGGCTGGTCTTGATCTTCTGACGTCATGATCCTCCCACCTCAGCCTCCCAAAGTGCTGGGATTACAGGCGTAAGCCACCACACCCGGCCACGAAGTAATCTTTGAACATACCATAGTTTAGCATTTTTTACCTGTAGCCCTGTTTAACATATTATAATATATTCATTAACGTTCAGTGAGAAGAATATCTCTCTGAGAAATCTGTTTTGGATTTTACAGGAATTTGGGTTAATTGTAAGTTCATAATTATTTGGCAACACCCTCCCCACCCCTGCCCCCAAAGAGAGAAAGAGATTCAAATAACTAGAGAGCTCAAATACCTAGAATTTTTTTCTACATTATGTACTCTATAAGGGCCATGTGGTGAGTCAGCCTTTGTGAAATGCAACAAGATAGTTTCCAGTGTATGTTACAAGAGGGACAGAAATTCAGTCTAGTGTCTCACACTTTCTACATTAATAGAATTATTCAGTGTTGTCATGGCTTTTATAAAAGCAACTTGAAATATAGAAATCCTTTTAGAATCCTTAAGGGAAAGATGAACTAATATTCAGCATTCTGTTAATGAAAAACATATCATTTTCTAATTTTTAATTGGCAGTATGTTTGATGATTCTGTTAATTAGTATATTCCATTAACGAACCAACCCATCCATTCAACCAATTTGAATAACAGAAGTTAACTGTAATTTATTTTTTACTATATTTTTGTCTCCCTGGTTTAAACAAATGGAAGAATACGGACTGGTTTAAACAATTCATCAAACACACTATCTCAGGTTCCAGGGAGATACATTATTAGGGTCTTACTGACTAATTTGTTATCAGTTACATAAGCTATTGCTTCTTTTTGCTGCCAGACATCTTTGGAAGCTCCATATTAATCACTGTCAGAGCCTGCTTCTTTCTGGGTTGCTGTCCTTTCCTCACCCATAGTCATTTATATTTCACATTCATTGCTTGAGAAGAAAGTAAGACCAAAAATGAAAGTATGTTCAAAAACAGTTTTGAATTTTTAGGATTTTTTTCATGTCTAAGTAGTTTAAAGAATTAATTAGCCTGTTCTTGTACTTGGAAATTTCTAGATGCTTTGACAATAGCTTTGTAACATGTAGTAGTTTAGGCAATGAGAATTAAATGTTTATCACAGTAGACTCTTATACATCCATTTATGAAATTACAAGAGATTTGTCATTTACAGTTGGAGAATGTTATAGTACAGATTGCCTGCAACTATTACAATGTTCAACTGCATTTGTAATCAAATATACAATAATAATGTGTAATTTCATAATAATAATATTAGTCTTTATCTCTTAGTCATAATAAATTATGATCTGATTATATTTCACTTACTCTAAAAATTATAGAAAATATCTTAGATAATTTGTAACCCAATATATTTTCTACCACATTTATTGTTAGTAGTTTCAAATTTTTTAATTGAACATATACCTTTTTAGACATTCAGAAGATTATGTTCTTTTTTAAGGTTAAATTACTGTATGTATACTAATATTGGCATTTATAGAAGCTTTCCAACTCAGGAAGGATTATGTTTGAATAATCTAGCATGTTTAAAACTATTGAATTTTTTTAAAAAAAAATTATGACTAGGCACAATTCCTTTGGAAACTGGTTTGGCTTTATCTAATAAAGATATGCACACCCAGAAGTTTTACTCCTAGACATACCTTAGTCAAATTTATGCACTTGTACATTAAAATACTTGTATTACTTTTATCCTAATAGTGTTTATAACAGTCAAAACACTGAAGCAATTCAAATGTCCACTACTAAAATGTTCAATATTAGAATTGTAATTAGTAAGATGGCTAAATTATGGTATTCTTAGAGTATGAATGCCATACAGCAATGGAAATGAATATTTTACACTACATTGGTTCATACAAATGAATCATATAAACATAAGATTTAGTTTAAAAAAAGCAAAGTACAACATTACATTTGGTATGATTCCATTTTGCATAAAGTTCAGTAACAGGCAAAACTAAATTCTATTGTTAGGATGCTACATAGATGGAAAAATCTAAAAAGAACACCAATGAAGTGATAACTGTTAAAGTTAGAAAAGTGATTTCTTTAGGGAGAAACTGGGAACCATAACTGAAAAGAGACACAGGGATTTTCAGGGCTATTGACAGTGTTCTCTTTCTTAACCTAGATAGTGGTTACATGCATCCTTAAAGTATACATTTAACTTATGCATTTTTCTGTTTGTTGTATTTCAGAGTAAAATAAATTTAAAAATTATACATTTAAAAATATTTCTCGCCAAAAAGACAGGTTTGGGATAAGATTTAACCAATGGATGTAAATAAAAAGCAGAATTACCTATTACAGATTGCAGAGTCCAAGGTGACAAGATAAAGGCTTCATTTTGAACTCTCTATCATATGTATGTGTGTATATATATATAAGTTAAGCATTTGTGGCATTATATTATTCAAGACTCTTTCTGCTGCATGTGACAGAATTGACTCATATAACTGGGAAATCTAGGGTCAGAGATGATTTTTCACATGATTGACTCCAGAGTTCACATTTTGTCATCAATAATCTGTTTGTATCTCTGCTTTTCTTGAATTTTTTTGTCTTAATTATGTTAGTAGACAAAAAAGTGGGCAAAATGACTGTTGGCTGGCCTGGATTCATATGATCTGGACAACTTCATTTAAAAGGGACATTTTTTGCTACCTTGTTTAAAAGGGACTGTCTTACTATAGCTCCTGCATTTATTTAAAATGACACACAACAACAACAACACCTCCCTCTGTTTTTCTTCCTGTTGGACTTTGGCCTGGTTGGGTAGGGCATTCTAACTGTCACAGCCCAGGTCTTTAGTTCAGATCGGTGAACCCCATCAGCCCCTCCTAAACAACAGAATGGTCTTCCTATAGGAAGAGGGGTTTTGATATTAGATGATGGGACAATAGGGTGCTGAACAGGTACATCACATCATCTTGAGTGATATACTTACTACAAGGTTTTAGTGTATTTAAAAAATGAGTCCTATACTTCCAAATCACTTTTCTTTCTAGTTCAAGAGAAAGAAGCATTCATTTTTCTATTCCGAGTTAATTCTTATCAAGTGCTTTTGAGCCATTTTCCAACATCTCCCTGTGTCCT